ATATCGATTTCATGTTTAGACTCGGATGGTTTCAGATTTGTTATTGAGAACAAATGTCTGTCCATTTATAGAGGCGATTTATTCTATGGTAAAGGTTACCAGTTTAATGGCCTTTATATTTTGGAAGATGAACCATCTGGATACAGGTCGATCTATAATGTTAGTACCAAGCGGTTTAAGTCGAACGACTTAAATCCGACCTATCTCTGGCATTGTCGACTTGGTCACATCAATGAGAAACGCATTGCGAAGCTTCATTCTGATGGACTTCTTGATTCTTTTGATTATGAATCAATCGAATCATGCGATTCCTGTTTGATGGGCAAGATGACAAAATCTCCTTTTACTAGAAAAGGAGAACGGGCTACGGAGTTGCTAGAACTCATACATAGTGATGTATGCGGTCCTATGAGCTCTCCCGCTAGAGGAGGTTATCTGTACTTTGTTACGTTTACTGATGATTTCAGTAGGTACGGTTATGTCTACTTGATGAGACATAAGTCTGAAACGCTTGAATTGTTCAAGACTTTCAGAAACGAGGTGCAGAACCAACTTGGCAAGACGATCAAGTTGCTTCGATCTGATCGAGGTGGCGAGTATATGAGCCAAGAGTTCATTGACTATCTGGCAGATTGTGGGATTGTCTCACAGCTGACTCCACCTGGAACGCCACAATGGAATGGCGTTTCCGAGAGGAGGAACCGAACCTTATTGGATATGGTACGGTCTATGATGAGTCAGGTCGATCTTCCTAAATCCTTCTGGGGATATGCTTTGGAAACTGCAGCGCTTATACTGAACAACTGTCCAACAAAGTCGGTTCAGAAGACTCCATATGAGATATGGACTGGGAAGCGTCCCAGGTTAGCATTCATGAAGATTTGGGGATGTGACGTTTACGTGAAACGTCTTGCTTCTGATAAGCTATCCGCCAAGTCTGATAAATGCATATTTGTGGGTTACCCTAAGGAAACTAAAGGGTACTGGTTCTACAACCCATCTGAGAACAAAGTGTTTGTTGCTCGGAATGGATCTTTCTTGGAGAGAGAGTTCGTCTCCAAGAGAGTTAGTGGGAGTAGAATAGATCTCGAAGAAGTTCGAGAACCACAAATAGTCGAGGAACCGAGTGAACAGGGCGAATCAGTTCAACCTGTGTCACAAGTTGTTGAGACAGCACCTCCTAGTGAACCTCGGAGATCTGGTAGAATTCGCCAAGAGCCTACAAGATATGGTTTTCTTGTGACTGGAAACGATGAACTCATGTTGTTAGAACATGACGAGCCTACGTCGTATTCAGAGGTTGTGGCGAGTTCCGATTCCGAGAAATGGCACCAGGCCATGGAGTCTGAGATGCAGTCCATGTACGACAACAAAGTATGGACTTTGGTCGACTCATTCGATGGTATTAAGACCATTGGATGTAAGTGGGTTTTCAAGAAGAAAACCGACATGGATGGCATCGTGCATACCTATAAGGCACGACTCGTCGCGAAAGGGTTTCGGCAGATTCATGGTATAGACTATGATGAAACCTTTTCACCAGTTGTGATGCTTAAATCCATTCGGATTCTGCTGGCCATAGCTGCGTATTATGACTACGAGATATGGCAGGTGGACGTCAAGACCGCATTCCTTAACGGGAATTTGCTCGAGGATGTGTACATGACACAACCCGAGGGTTTTGTTGATCCTAAGAGTCCGAGGAAGGTGTGCAAGCTTCAGAGATCCATTTATGGATTGAAGCAGGCTTCGAGGAGCTGGAATCTTCGATTTGACGAGGCAGTCAAAACGTTTGGCTTCCTGCAAAACGAAGATGAGCCATGCGTTTACAAGAAGGTCAGTGGGAGCGCAGTGGTCTTCCTTGTGCTTTATGTAGATGATATATTGCTCATCGGAAATGACATTCCTACCTTGCAAGGAGTAAAATCCTGGCTAGGATCGGTCTTTTCGATGAAGGACTTAGGAGAAGCCGCTTATATTCTAGGAATCAAGATCTATAGAGATAGATCGAGAAGGCTTCTTGGTCTAAGTCAGAGTACATACATTGACAATGTCTTGAATCGGTTCAAGATGCAAGACTCCAAGAGGGGTGCCTTGCCAATGGGCCATGACGTTGCTCTTAGCAAGACTCAGTGTCCAAAGACACAGGATGAGCAAGAGCGCATGAGTAGGATTCCATATGCCTCGGCAATTGGATCCATCATGTACGTCATGTTGTGTACTCGTCCAGATGTATCATATGCATTGAGCATGACTAGTAGATATCAATCTACACCAAGTGAGGCTCACTGGATTGCGGTCAAGAACATCCTTAAGTACTTGAGAAGGACTAAGGATTTG